GAGCACAGAAAGGGCTAAACCAACATAAGTAGTTACAGACAGAAATAAGTAGAAATAAGACAGATTATTAACAGGCAGTACCATAAATGCTAAACAGATGTATAGGCCTAAGTTTGGGTCTGACAAATGTAGATAGTCAGTAGCAACACCTAGCCACATATTTACTAAACAATATCTGCCCAATAAGTGTTGGAATACCAAGAAGGCAACCATAAAGAAACATTAAAATGAAGCGACGGGTGGGGGCCCTAACTGACAATGGGGGACGATCTATTTGCTTCCCCACCCGACCCCCACCCATAAGCGACGGGATGGGGGGGGGGGTCCTAAATAAAAATCAGAGTGCTGTGACAGGGAAATGTAGAGACTTTCTTGTCAGTCTCTTCATTTACCTGTCAGAGCACTCTCATTGGTTGGCTTAAACCAACCAATCAGAGCGCTTTGAGCCAAATTACAGGGCATGGGAAGGCTTTATAAGCCTTTCCCTGCCATGCGGAGCTCATTCTGCGCCGTGCCTTCGTTGGTTGAAGATGAAATATTCTTTTAGCGCAGATTTTTTATTTTTTTTTGGGCTGACTTATTTGGTGCTTGGATTTTTGTTTTATTTTATAAGTTCGACTGGTATTATATGAATACAAAAAAGAAAAGAAAAAAAACTACCATAGAGTGTCTCAACATTTTGGTAAATATAGTCACAATGAAATGGGCATAAAAAATAACTTTTAATGGATATATTAAAATGTAAAATAGAAAAGATAAAAGCACAAGGCTAAAAAATAATATGTCCTATAAACTAGTAGGGGTATTAAACCTCCAATAGAACCAATAGCAAGAGAAGTGTTGCTTCAAAGAAATACTTATTGGTGTAAAGTAAAACTACTTGCTATGAATGTAACTGTATTCTAAATAGAGAAGTTGGATACTAGTATCTTCAAAACTCTTCCTGCAGAACAGGGTAGGTTGAATATAGATGAAATGCCTCTAGTGCACAAGGGGTTAAACAGCACAACAGTTGGTTGCAATGGTTAATAGAAAAGAGGCAGGGAATACCTGTAAAATAAAGAGGTATAGGAGAGAGTTGCAAGCTAGGTTAGATATAATGGTCAGTAGAAATACAGAGACTATAGGTAATCCTGACGCTTGCTAGCAAGAGAGGTGTAAATACAAAGAGATACTTTAATAGTAAAACGTTAAGCCACTTTCTATAAACAATGTCATTGAATTCAAGATGGGAGGGTGGGGTATTAGTTTCCTCTGAACTCCTCCTGCAAAACAGGGTCTGCTGTATATAGATAAAGTACCTCTAATGCACAAGAGGTTAAACAGTACACCAATATGGTTGCAATAGTTAATGAAGAAGAGGCAGAGAATACCTGTAAATAGGGAGGTATAGGAGGCAGTAGCAAGCTAGGATTAGATGCAATGATAAATAGAGATGTAGAAAATATAGATAATCCTGATGCTTGTAAGATAGAAATTCTAAGTGCCTTCGATGGCACTCCTTAAAGGACCACTATAGTGCCAGGAAAACATACTCGTTTTCCTGGCACTATAGTGCCCTGAGGGTGCCCCCACCCTCAGGGACACCCTCCCGCCCGGCTCTGGAAAGGGTAAAGGGGTTAAAACTTACCTTTTTCCAGCGCTGGGCGGGGAGCTCTCTGCCTCCTCTCCTCCTCCGATCCTCCTCCTGGGCTGAATGCGCACGCGCGGCAAGAGCTGCGCGCGCATTCAGCCCGTCGCATAGGAAAGCATTTACAATGCTTTCCTATGGACGCTTGCGTGCTCTCACCGTGAAAATCACAGTGAGAAGCATCTAGTAAGCTCTAGTGGCTGTCAATGAGACAGCCACTAGAGGGAATAGGGGGAAGGCTTAACCCATTAATAAACATAGCAGTTTCTCTGAAATTGCTATGTTTATTAAAAAATGGGTTAACCCTAGCTGGACCAGGCAGCCAGACCACTTCATTAAGCTGAAGTGGTCTGGGTGCCTAGAGTGGTCCTTTAATAAATGCCTATACTATATAACTCAACCCCCCAAAAAGGTGTAAATACAGAGAGATACTTAAATAGTAAAAAGTGAAGCCACTTGCTATAAACAATGTTCAAGATAGGAGGGTGAAGTATTGGTGTCCTCTGAACTCCTCCTGCAGGACAAGGTCTGCTGTGTATAGATGAAGTATCTCTAATACACAGGAGGTTAAACAGCATACCAATGTGGTTGCAATAGTTAATAGAAAAGAGGCAGAGAATACCTGTAAATAGGGAGGTATAGGAGGCAATAACAAGCTAGGATTAGATGCAATGATAAATGGAGATGTAGGAAATATAGGTAATGCTGACACTTGTAAGATAGAAAAACTAAGTGCCTTCGAGGGCACCCCTTAATAAATGCCTATACTATATAACTCAACCCCCCAAAAAGGAATAAAGAGACAGAGGATAGGACAAGTAAAACGAATGCCTATTTGTAAAAGTAAGATCGCTAGTCAGACAGCGGCTGAATAAGTGCAGCAGCAGAGGAATGTCAAGCTAGGCTTCCTGAGCCCCTGACGTGCACGTTTCATCTGGGTTACTCATCAGAGGGGAACTGAAGACAGGTAAGTGTAGAGCTTTTAAATATGAAAGTAACCAATAGGGTTAGGAGGGAGGGGATGTAATTGCCACACTTCTGATTGTTAACCCTATCAGTGCTGAATTAGAACAATGTGACGATAAATATGTATAAGGATAGAATGGGAGCTAATACAAAAGTTAGTATGGGAAAGGAGATAAATTTTAATATAGGACAAAATGAATGGAGGATAGAATAAAAATACTACATAATTAATATGACCATGTATGGAGAAAAAGAAACATATATAAGTGTCTGTATCTATTACTAGTGCTCAGTTGTGGCTATAGATGGCTAAAGTAGTAATAGGGTAGGAAACTAAATAAAGGCAGCTTAATGGTGCTACTAATTAGCCATTTAGAATATGTAGTCACCAGGAATAGAGGCACTATCATAATAGATATTACACTAAGAACGAGTAGTGGGTAATGTAAAATATCTAAGTCCATTAGTATGTTAAAAGATTGGTGTCATTTTTTCAGAATACAAATAGATACAAAATTGATAAATAATAAATAAACGGGGGATAAAAAATAAAGAATGATAATACATAATTGGCCATGTCTTGATCAATTATTGATACAGTAATCGGTAGTGACTACAAATGGAGACAAAAAATGAAGACCAATTAGTGATGCAAATAGCAAACTATTTAGGATACATAGCCACCAAAATTACTGTTACTGATGAATGAAGGGAGTAAAATTAAATTCTTCATTAAGACCAGGAGGAGCTAGTGTTTTAAATTGATGTATCCATCTAGATTCTTTCTTGAGTAGTGTGAGGTTAAAATTCCATTTTCTTGTGTTTAAATGAATATGTTCCAGGATTTGGAAATTCAGATTAGTCGGATCCATATTATGGAAGTTTCTAATGCAACTGGTGTGGAAATGTTAAGATTTTTTACGGAATTGACATGTTGTAGCACACGTCTACGGAATTCCTGATATGTTTTACCCACATATTGTAATTTACAGCTACAAGTAATGACATAAATGACCTTAGTTGTGCTGCAGTTCATGAATTCTTTGATTGTATGTACTATTTTAGTATTAGTGCATACTACTGTTTTTGATGGCAGAATATATTTGCAAGCTTTACAGTGGCCACATTTGAACATTCCCTTGGAAGTCTGTAGCCATGTTGAAGATGGTTGTGCTGGCTCCAAGTGGCTATGGACAAGTAGGTCACGTAGATTTGTTGCTCTCCGTGGTGTAATACTTGGAAACTGTTGTAGATTTTCTGCCACATCGCTGTCATGGGTAAGTATAGGCCAATTCTCTGTAAAGATCTTGTGAATAGGGTCCCAATACTGGTCATATGTTGCAATGCACCTTGTGATGTGCTTTTTGGGCTGGCTCTTTAAGTTTTTCAAAGAAGAGGACCGGTCCATTAGTGAGACACGCTGAAAAGCTTGTTTGAGAATCTTGTTAGGGTATCCCTGTTCTTTAAAAGCGTATTCTAAGTATATTAGCTTCTTGTCTGAAAATTTCCTCATTGGAACAATTTCTTTTAGCTCTTAGATACTGACCAAAAGGAATGCCAGCCTTGAGCTTGTATGGATGGTGGCTGTTCCAATGTAGAAGATTGTTGCAAGATGTGGGTTTACAATACAGTTCAGTTGTAATCTCGCCTCCAGGTGATAGACGGATGGTGAGGTCGAGAAACTCAAGTTGGTCTTCACTAATGACGTGAGTTAGCTTTAAACCAACGTTATTAAGGTTCAGTTTGGAGACCATCTCCTCAAAGGTGGTCATAGGGCCAGTCCAGAAAAGTAGGATGTCATCTATATAACGATGCCAATTGAGAATGAATTGATTATAGCCGGATTTTGTAATTTCTGCCAGGATGGTAGCTTCCCACCAGCCAAGGTAGAGGTTGGCATAGCTAGGGGCACAAGCTGTCCCCATAGCTGTGCCCCTAGTCTGCAGATAGTAGACACCATTAAAAACAAAAAAATTGTGGGTAAGAATAAATTCCAAAGTTTCCATCAAAAATGTAATTTGAAGAAATTAAATGTAATTTGAAGAAAGAAATCAAGAGAAGTCAGTATAATTTCTTAATCAAATAACACAGACTAACTCTTAATCACAATCAAGAGCTGGTTCTTTTTTAGACCAAGCATGGCAGAATTCCCAACGACCCAGATTGAGGGACAGGAACAGATGGGGGTACAGACCAGATCGACCAAAAAAGTAATCCAAAGCACTAGTAATGGAAACAAAGTGATAAACTTGTCTAATTATCCTATTTCTCCTACACATTTATCCATTTTAAATAAAGGGCTTTCCTTCATACCAACTCCTGGAGCCAATAAGTTTGATTGGCTAAAGGACACCAATCTCTTTGGCCGTAAACGTGCCCTGAGTGCACTACACAAGAAAAAATAATGGCCAAAGAATTAGGAGTTCCACTTGAGGATTACAAACACATAAAAACATTAGTTACATTACTTGATGATCAAGAAAAAGATCCCCCTTTAACTGACCTGAAACCATTAAGCTGGTTTACACCTAATTTTAAAGACATAATAAATGTGGATTTATTTGTGCAAATAACCACAGATAAAATTGAACAACTTAATGTCATATCAACACCACTGACCAGCAACCTGTCCTATGCAGAAAATCAAGCTTTAAAGGAACTAAGCTCTGATAAGAATATTATCATCAAACCCTCAGAAAAGGGGGGAAATATTGTCATCTTGGAAAAAGACATGTACATAGATATGTGTATGATTCATCTAAATGATACATCTTGTTATCAGAAACTAAAAGGGGATCCTACTAAAAAGTACTTAGAAGCAGGAGTTTAAACAACTACTCATTAAGGCTAGAGACAGTGAGACAATAACACAAGACGAATTTAAATTTCTTCTACCAAACAATACCCCCACAGTAGCTACATTCTACTGCTTACCAAAGGTGCACAAGAATCCCACAAACCCACCAGCTAGACCAATCGTCTCTGGAAATAATTCTCTCACAGAACAACCTAGCAAGTACTTAGAAAAAATACTCCACCCCCTGGTTGTAGAACTACCTTCATTCATACCGGATACAAAACATACACTAATAATGCTGGAAAACCTCATGGTACCCCCATACACTCTCATTGCCAGCCTTGAGGTTGTGGCACTGTACAATAATATCCCTCACAATATTGGCTTAACAGCCACTTTATATTTCTTAGAAAAATCTCAGCAATTCACCACCACTCAAATTACATTTTTGATGGAAACTTTGTAATTTATTCTTACACACAATTTTTTCGTTTTTAATGGTGTCTACTATCTGCAGACTAGGGGCACAGCTATGGGGGCAGCTTGTGCCCCTAGCTATGCCAACCTCTGCCTTGGCTGGTGGGAAGCTACCATCCTGGCAGAAATTACAAAATCCGGCTATAATCAATTCATTCTCAACTGGCATCGTTATATAGATGACATCCTAATTTTCTGGACTGGCCCTATGGCCACCTTTGAGGAGATGGTCTCCAAACTGAACCTCAATAACATTGGTTTAAAGCTAACTCACATCATTAGTGAATACCAACTTGAGTTTCTCGACCTCACCATCCGTCTATCACCTGGAGGCGAGATTACAACTGAGCTGTATCGTAAACCCACATCTTGCAACAATCTTCTACATTGGAACAGCCACCATCCATACAAGCTCAAGGCTGGCATTCCTTTTGGTCAGTATCTAAGAGCTAAAAGAAATTGTTCCAATGAGGAAATTTTCAGACAAGAAGCTAATATACTTAGAACACGCTTTAAAGAACAGGGATACCCTAACAAGATTCTCAAACAAGCTTTTCAGTGTGTCTCACTAATGGACCGTTCCTCTTGTTTGAAAAACTTAAAGAGCCAGCCCAAAAAGCACATCACAAGGTGCATTGCAACATATGACCAGTATTGGGACCCTATTCGCAAGATCTTTACAGAGAATTGGCCTATACTTACCCATGACAGTGATGTGGCAGAAAATCTACAACAGTTTCCAAGTATTACACCACGGAGAGCAACAAATCTACGTGACCTACTTTTCCATAGCCACTTGGAGCCAGCACAACCATCTTCAACGTGGCTACAGACTTCCAAGGGAATGTTCAAATGTGGCCACTGTAAAGCTTGCAAATATATTCTGCCATCAAAAACAGTAGTATGCACTAATACTAAAATAGTACATACAATCAAAGAATTCATGAACTGCAGCACAACTAAGGTCATTTATGTCATTACTTGTAGCTGTAAATTACAATATGTGGGTAAAACATATCAGGAATTCCGTAGACGTGTGCTACAACATGTCAATTCCGTAAAAAATCTTAACATTTCCACACCAGTTGCCAACCACATTAGAAACTTCCATAATATGGATCCGACTAATCTGAATTTCCAAATCCTGGAACATATTCATTTAAACACAAGAAAAGGGAATTTTAACCTCACACTACTCAAGAAAGAATCTAGATGGATACATCAATTTAAAACACTAGCTCCTCCTGGTCTTAATGAAGAATTCAATTTTACTCCCTTCATTCATAAGTAACATAGGATCCTATTTCTTCCAACTTAGCCAGTAATTTTGGTGGCTATGTATCCTAAATAGTTTGCTATTTGCATCACTAATTGGTCTTCATTTTTATGTCTCCACTTGTAGTCACTACCTGTATCAATAATTGATCAAGACATGGCCAATTATGTATTATCATTCTTTATTCTTTATCCCCCGTTTATTTGTTATTTATCAATTTTGTATCTATTTGTATTCTGAAAAAATGACACCAATCTTTTAGCATATTAATGGACTTAGATCTTTTACATTACCCACTACTCGTTCTTAGTGTAATATCTATTATGATAGTGCCTCTATTCCTGGTGACTACATATTCTAAATGGCTAATTAGTAGCACCATTAAAGGACCACTCTAGGCACCCAGACCACTTCAGCTTAATGAAGTGGTCTGGGTGCCAGGTCCTTCTAGGGTTAACCCATTTTTTTTATAAACATAGCAGTTTCAGAGAAACTGCTATGTTTATGAATGGGTTAAGCCTTCTATTTCTAGTGGCTGTCCATTGACAGCCACTAGGCGCTGCGCTTTCACTGTGATTTTCACAGTGAGAGCACGCAGGCCATAAAGCATTGTAAATGCTTTCCTATGCGGCTGAATGCGCTTGCGCGCATTCAGCCCAGGAGGATCGGAGGAGGAGAGGAGGCAGAGAGCTCCCCGCCCAGCGCTGGAAAAAGGTAAGTTTTAACCCCTTTCCCCTTTCCAGAGCCGGGCGGGAGGGGGTCCCTGAGGGTGGGGGCACCCTCAGGGCACTATAGTGCCAGGAAAACTAGTATGTTTTCCTGCCACTATAGTGGTCCTTTAAGCTGCCTTTATTTATCTATAGCCACCACTGAGCACTAGTAATAGATACAGACACTTATAAATGTTTATTTTTCTCCATACATGGTCATATTAATTATGTAGTATTTTTATTCTATCCTCCATTCGTTTTGTCCTATATTAAAATTTATCTCCTTTCCCATACTAACTTTTGTATTAGCTCCCATTCTATCCTTATACATATTTATCGTCACATTGTTCTAATTCAGCACTGATAGGGTTAAAAATTAGAAGTGTGGCAATTACAGCCCCTCCCTTCTAACCCTATTGGTTACTTTTATATTTAAAAGCTCTACACTTACCTGTCTTCAGTTCCCCTCTGATGAGTAACCCAGACGAAACGTGCACGTCAGGGGCTCAGGAAGCCTAGCTTGACATTCCTCCTCTGCTGCTGCACTTATTCAGCCGCGGTCTGACTAGCGATCTTACTTTTACAACTAGGCATTCTTTTTACTTGTCCTATCCTCTGTCTCTTTATTCCTTTTTGGGGGGTTGAGTTATATAGTATAAGCATTTATTAAGGGGTGCCCTCGAAGGCACTTAGTTTTTATATCTTACAAGTGTCAGGATTACCTATATTTCCTACATCTCCATTTATCATTGCATCTAATCTTAGCTTGTTATTGCCTCCTATACCTCCCTATTTACAGGTATTCTCTGCCTCTTTTCTATTAACTATTGCAACCACATTGGTATGCTGTTTAACCTCCTGTGTATTAGAGATACTTCATCTATATACAGCAGGCCCTGTCCTGCAGGAGGAGTTCAGAGGATACCATTACTCCACCCTCCTATCTTGAACATTGTTTATAGCAAGTGGCTTCACTTTTTATTATTTAAGTATCTCTCTGTATTTACACCTTTTTGGGAGGTTGTGCTATATAGTATAAGCATTTATTAAGGGGTGCCCTCGAAGGCACTTAGATTTTCTATCTTACAAGCATCAGGATTATCTATATTTTCTACATCTCTATTTATCCTTGCATCTAATCCTAGTTTGCTACTGCCTCCTATACCTCCTTATTTACAGGTATTCTCTGCCTCTTCTTTATTAACTATTGCAACCATATTGGTGTACTGTTTAACCTCTTGTGTATTAGAGGTACTTTATCTATATACAGCAGACCCTGTTTTGCAGGAGGAGTTCAGAGGATACTAATACCCCACCCTCCCATCTTGAATTCAGTGACATTATTTATAGAAAGTGGCTTAACTTTTTACTATTAAAGTATCTCTTTGTATTTACACCTCTCTTGCTAGCAAGCGTCAGGTTAACATATAGTCTCTATATTTTTACTGACCATTATATCTAACCTAGCTTGCAACTGTCTCCTATACCTCTTTATTTTACAGGTATTCCCTGCCTCTTTTATATTAACCATTGCAACCAACTGTTGTGCACTAGAGGCATTTCATCTATATTCAACCTACCCTGTTCTGCAGGAAGAGTTTAGAAGATACTAGTATCCAACTTCTCTATTTAGAATAGAGTTACATTGTTCATAGCAAGTAGTTTTACTTTACACCAATAAGTATTTCTTTGAAGCAACACTTATCTTGCTATTGGTTCTATTGGAGGTTTAATACCCCTACTAGTTTATAGGACATATTATTTTTTTAGCCTTGTGCTTTTTGTTTTGCTTTTATCTTTTCTATTTTACATTTTAATATATCCATTAAAAGTTATTTTTTATGCCCATTTCATTGTGACTATATTTACCAAAATATAGTGAGACACTCTATGGTAGTTTTTTTTTTCTTTTTTGTATTCATATAAATTCACCATTTAGGGGTTACCCCCCATTTTGTTTCTACCAATATTCGTGCCTCATATTCATATCTAGGCTCTCCTTTTTTCTTTTTTAGTTACTTAGTCAGTAGCAACACCTAGCCACATATTTACTAAACAATATCTGCCCAATAAGTGTTGGAATACCAAGAAGGCAACCATAAAGAAACATTAAAATGAAGTGATGGGTGGGGGCGCTAACTGACAATGGGGGACGATCTATTTGCTTCTCCACCCGACCCCCACCCATCAGCGACAGGATGGGGGGGGACCTAAATAAAAATCAGAGTGCTGTGACAGGTAAATGTAGAGACTTTCTTGTCAGTCTCTTCATTTACCTGTCAGAGCACTCTCATTGGTTGGCTTAAACCAACCAATCAGAGCGCTCTGAGCCAAATTGCAGGGCATGGGAAGGCTTTATAAGCCTTTCCTCGCCATGCAGAACTCATTCTGCGCCGTGCCTTCGTTGGTTGAAGATGAAATATTTTTTTAGCGCAGATTTTTTTTTTGGCTGACTTTTATTTGGCGCTAGGATTTTTGTTTTATTTTATAAGTTCGACTGGTATTATAGTTTGGGGGCCGGGGTGGAGAACTATAGGTCTTCCCTCCCCTTATTGTAATTTAAGGTTCCC